TTGGTTGGACTTATCAATATTTACAAGAAACCTCATTCTATGCAATGTTCAAATACACTAAACATTTTTGCAAATTGAGAACCAGCATTATAAATATCATATACAACTCACAACTTAATCTTCTTCAAGCCACAAATGTAAATCTTGCTAAAATCCACTACAGTCAGCCTGCTACTTGGAGAAGAGGTTATCAGAAAATCGAAGAAGGGATACCAGGAAAAAATAAAAACATGAGCAACCACACCCAGTTTTCATTTTGCTCCACCAACTTAGCGTACCTCTACCCAAAAGCATTGCTCCTGGGAAAGGCAGCCCTCACTGAAAAAATAAGAAAAAGTACCTATCACTCCACTGATAGATATGTGTGCCACAGTTTGAATATTAAGGGTGCAGGGATATATTGAAATGTATGGTTATGAATTTGTCCCAAAACAGTGTTTTGCATGTAGTATTTTCTGTTAAAAGAAAACAAACCCCCTATGTTTCCTAACAACATCAAAGTCATTGTTAAAATAAATAGATAAATTCTAGTGAATGTTTACATTACATAATGCCCATCTGTAACTGCTAAAGAAGTGCTGACAGATACTGTATATAATACTGTATATAATACAAGTGGTTCTTTGCCAATGCAACTTACACTAGGAATAATAAGAACAATCATATTAACGATCTGTATTATACTGTTAGTATTATATGAGCTGTTGTATTAAATCCTCATAAATTATCCTACTTTATCTTAAAAAGTATTCACTGTAAAATTCATCCACAGGAATACTGACATATATTTAATTTCTCTTTACAGGAACTTGCAGATGCCATAATGTGAACAACACAAGTCTAAGAAGCATAGTTTTACCAAGTCTAGAGTAGCAAGATACATCAGGAGAGCAGTTGAAGAAAATGTCTTGAATTTGAACATGACCATAGAGATATTGGGGTTCCATCTTATGGGACGGCTCACAGTAGCATAACCTTCTCCATCAAACTGAACAGTTCCCTCACCATCTGCCACCTGGGGGCTGTGATGTGAAGAAATACAAAATAATAAAATTTGAAAACTGTTAGACATCAGAATCATCTAACAGCTGATTAAAATCATCATTTCAGTTAGAATTATTGAGACAAAGATGAGTCTATCTGAATCATTCATTCAAACTGATTGGTATAGATGATTTGAATCAAATTTTATGCAGCACAACAATCTCATAACAAGTGCATACATGCACATGCAAAAGTCCACTGAATCATTTTAGCAAGTAAATTTTATTCAGCCAAAATCTATTTGATTTGATGTAGTACTGTATATCAAGTGCATGAACCAAAACCTATCAATTTATTGATTTGAAGAAATACAGTTTAATTTCCTGCATTCAGGGAATCAGATAGCTAAATGAAGTAGAAACACAAAGCTGTGAATCAAAGTTTCACACAGCTCATATATGATATGAGACCTTGCTGAGATACATATTATATATGTTACATTTGCATCCATATACTGACATCCACAAGATGGTAAATGTGGACATCTATGTTATAATGTCATCACACAAATGAGACATATTTGCAAGATCCACCATGCTGTCATTAGGTAGCTGCATAATTTACATGATGTTATGATGCATATACCACCATTCTAATATCATCATGTATTGATATTGTTTTTGCAGTATCTATTTGTGTGTGTGTGTGTGTGTATGCATGTATGTATGTGTATATGCATATATATATATGCATATAATTGAAGAAATGCTTTTAGAAATGTAAAGATTAACTTTATATGCTTGTAAATATATAGTTCCTATATATTTTCAGTCATTCATTTATCGTTTATATGTACTGGGGAGGGGATGGTGAATATTGTGAGCTATGCCATACAATTTTCATTTTTCAGAGTGGTTTTAATAATGATTGGAGTTTCAAAAGGCTGATCCTTGTGCTAAACAAACCTAATTATGGCCTTTCAAAATACCATTCTATATAAAAAGAAGTACTAGTATATTGAGAAAAAAAGATTGTGAGATGCTTAGCTACTTATTTTTTTTAAAGTAATTACAATACAATCACAAAACAATATTATGGGGGAAAAAACCTTACCTGACAGCACAGCCTTTACACTCTCCTTCAATGTCTCTGAAATTCCATAGTCCTATTGGTTTGCTGTCCAAATAGGTTTCTCCCATGCATCCTGTGAAAGTAGTGACTCTCACAGCATCAGATTTCTGGAAAAAGAAAGTATGCCGGCTAAGTATTGAATTCTTTATTCATAGACTCTATTACAATTTGTAACAAAAGTATTTGTCTATACTGCCTAATTTTCAACAGAAGTGGAAGCTATTAAGACAGAAATGATTGACATGGAGAGAGAAACATGCCTTCTGTGTCACAGCACCTGCCCTGTGGAATGAGGTTGTCCCTGAGATCCAGGTGGCTTCCACGGTGCTGGCATTCCTGAGGAACTTAAAGACCTGATTCATCTCTCATGGTGTGGAATGGGAGAAAGCTTGCAGATACATCAATAGAGTTCCTGGTGATCCTGTACTCTCCTTATACCCTATCATGAACCTTTTAGCTGAGACCATTTTGAACCTTAGAGTAAAGGAATAGCAGTGCTGGTATTGATTAGTAACATCCAAGGGAGGTCCACGTCCTCAAAATGGTATCAGAGATCATCACTACTCTACAGCATCTCTTCCAACCTAATACAAAATAAAGCAAGTAGGATATTTGGCCATATGAAACCCTTTCTTGTTGGAACCAATGAGAAACTCATTTGGAACTTCAGAACAGGCAATAACTTTCCCCGTTTAAATCAACCAATGTTGCAGATTTGTTTTGTACAGAGACAGATGGATGCATATGTGTTTAGAAACAAGTCTTTGTTCTCTAGAAGGCCACTATATCCTAGTACCTGAGGAACTCGCATAAGATTTAATCAGCAGTTTCTAAAGCACTGGGAGGACATTACAAAGACAGGACAGATGCCTCTGTGCAAGCCAAGTGTCTACTCTCTCTTGCAGTCCATGGCAACGTGGCTACAGAAGGTAGAGCCAGCACCTGAGTGGGAATGGAGTCTGACAAAGCTTTAAACCGGCAAAAGAGCTAACAGATTTCTTTATCATTCTATTGGCGTCGAGGTGCTGTAGATTGTTACATGGCAAGATAGACACAAAGGCACTAAGACAACTGGTCTGGAGGTCAGATGAAAGCAATGTAATTAGGATACTTCCCTTAAAAAAACAACCCCGTGATTATTTTATATACAAATACATTAAGGTCCAACAAATTCAATTTTTAAATATGTGTATGATAAACCATAGTTTATTGAACTATGACAGAATCTTTAAGAAATTTTCCTCTTGTTTAGGCAAAATAGAAATTTCTAATTCCTTGTTCCAGTCAGTGTTTTAAAATGGCTTATGAAATAGACTGATCAATAGAAAATATTTATAAAGACTGTTGTGGAATTTATCTTATTGGCCTTTAGTGATAAAAATCTAATAACTTAGATGTCTCTGAAGCTGAAAATGCTATAGGTCCAAACTGAGAATAGCGCTTCATTAAAACATATTTTTTGTGATTCTTTAAAATCATTATATTCATTGAATAAATAATTACACATTTAAACAGGGCTTTATGTTTTTCACACAACAATATTCTTTTGATCAACATACCTACATTAACATTGATGGCTGGACAAAGCAAATGGATACTCTGCATTGGTCTTATTGGTCTTATGCTTCAATTTTGGAAATGTAAAATTATGGTCCCAATTATTCAGAGGATTGAACACCTAAAACTAATAGTGACGTCTTTATAAGTTATTTACAATACAGGTGATTCTTGAGTTACAAATATAATAAAGCCTACCAATTATATTCATAACCTGAAGATTCGTTAATTGGATCACATTAAATAAACGTGATCCCTTCCTGCTTTATCCAATGCATTCACTAATCAAATGCACAGATCATTAAGTGCATATGAGGTATATCAGAGTGGGGAAGACTGGGGGGGGGGGGGTTAGTGTTTCCAACCACCCAAGGCTTTCCCCAACCCACTGAGATATCTCATGCTTCCCCCCTCCCATCCTGCCTCACAGGATCTCCACAGGCACTGGGCCTGTGGAGACTCACTTACCTTTCAAAGATTTTGATGATCAAGCAAACTGTCTCCTCTCCAGCCTCTCTGCCGTGGTTTCTTTGTCTGCTCCTGGGGCTCCAAAAGAGGAGCGGTAAGAACAGATGTTAAGCAGGATGAACATGCCCTACTCAGCTTGGCTGACTCACTGAGGTTGCCTACGTAGGGCACCTGATCTGCTTTTGGAGCACTGGGCAGCCTCAGTGAATCTGAAGAAGCAAAAGGACAGAGGCCTGAAAGAGTGCAAGATCGTGCCCCCAAAGGCTTCTGTTCTCCATGCCAAAAGCTTTTGCAAAGGGACAGAAGCCTTCGTAAGTGCAATCTCACGCTCCTTCAGACTCACCAAGGCTGCCTGGCACTCCAAAAGCGGATCAGGTGTCCCGCGCAGGCAGCCTCAGTGAGTCAGCCAAGCTGAGCAGGGGGCACTCATCTTGCTCTGCCTCTGTTCTTACCACTCCACTTTTGGAGCACCAGGACCAGGCAAAGAAACTGCTGCCACACAAACCCCGCGGTAAGGAGGCTGGAGAGGAGACAGCTTGTTCGAGGAGAGAGAAGGAGCGGTGAGCCTGTTCTGGAACTCTGGATCTTTGAAAGGTAACTGAGCAGTCGGTAATGGGGTGGGGAGAAGTCAGTGGGCTAGCATAGCAAGGCCGTGCTTGTTAGGTCCCTGTGGTGGTGGGGAATAGACAGGGGGAATGTTGCAGTGTCTCTGCGGTCGGACATAAGGGTGAATGATTGCCGTGGTGCTACAACGTTCATAACTTCGGGACTGGGTCATAAGTACTTTTTTGGGGGGGGGGTCATAACTTTGAACTATTGCTAAGTGAACTTGAGGACTAGCTGTATAAATTTCTAGAGCCATCCATTCACCCACAATCTTTATGAACAAATTGCTTATTGATATAGATGATTACTGATGTAGATAAATGCTAATTATAATGAAATATAAGAGTTTCACTGAAACTCTTGAATAAAAATATATATGTGTATGAGAAGTTCTAATACATCATTTTTAAAATTTTGCTTCTTTTTTCTGGTTCATTAAATAACAAAGGGATTTTTGTTTAAAAAAATGAGAACAAGTACCTTAAAATCAATCAGCAAGAGGGTATTTTAGAGATGTTAGGATGAGCCTTAGTTTTTTTTTATCATTTAGAGTAGCCTTTTAATTTGGCTTTGTACAATCATAATTATCACAAGTTAGCAATATAATCACACAAACCACAGCAATTTGAAGAACACTTCTGAATTGTAACTGCTGAATTGCTGAAAGAGAATTGTTCTCAACGGAAGTTGTCGTTTTCAAAAGTATTTAATTATCTTTTGTGTCTCATTTCATCAATATCATTTTGCTTCCAGATATTTAGCAATTTGAGACATATAAGCACCTGGTACTTTTCATAAAGAATTATGAGTATTAAAAATATTAATGTATGAACATCTGGAGAACAGAAACTTGACTTTCAAAAAGAGACATGGCATGAATTCTGAAAAACTTCAAAATTCACTGTGAATATGGCAAACTTGGCATTACAAACTAAACAATTCACATTGAAAAAAACTTTTAAAAAGAAAAAATGGATGAGAGAAGAAGCAAGTTCAGAAATGGAAGTATTTTTTGAATGTTATACCAATCTACTATGTTGGGCTCTTAAAGAGAAAAGGGTAAGTATAATTGTTGTTATTGTTGGTCATACATCAGACAGATGTTTAGATTGAATTTGGCATTTCTATCCACATATTGAGTCTTTCCCAAGGTCCTAAGATAGGCAGATGTTGTTGGTGTTATTATTGTTTTTGTTTGATTTCTTTTGAGTCAGGATTGGCTTTTAGCAACTACCTGGACAGGTCCCTTATTACGTACCCATGATTAACATTAATCTGAACTATCATGGCCATAATGGATATTCTTCTTCAATGCATTGCATAAATAAATCAATGGACTAGGGTAGTTGGAATTCCTGCTATGTGTATGATACAGTTGTTATTGCTAATTAATTCCCCACCTTGTTTACTATTTTATGTTCTACTTTGATTGTATATTTGTTATTTTGTTTTTATGATGTGAACTACCTAGAGTATTTTGGGGTTGAGGGATCTCTAAGTTGACTAATTAATGAATTAAATATGTAATTAAGAATCCCAAAAACATAGTATAATTTCTGAAGGTATTTTTCTACAAATTTATGCATCACTTCAATTCAAATGATAACACTTATTCAAAGTTTATGCATATACAATATTGAAATGCATGAATGAAATTATCTGTGGATTATGTACCTATTTATAGCATTAGGATTGGATAGGAAACACCAGGATTTAAACTACTGGAAAAGTATCAGATGAGAAGAGTTAACAAAGGATATAGAAAATTATTTGAGATTTAAAGCAGATGCTGATAATAATAAAAAATGATATAAGAAAAGTAAAGCCAAATTGGATTTTAAAAAAGAGATTAGAATCCAAGTTGGATCTGTCAATCCATCTAGCCATCCATTCCAGTACAAGGTTGATACAAAAATTGTACATGTAATTATAAATTACTATATGAACTTAATGAATGTATATATTATGGAAACAGCCTTAAACAGAAAGATGGGAAATTGAGATCTTTGCAAAGCTTTATCTTGTCTTAAGAATAAATAAAAGCTGTAATTCTTTTAATTTATATGATAAAGAATGGTTCAAGCCCAGAATCTGTCTAGCTGGTTTCAGATTAATTTACAGTTTATTTTTAAAGTCTGATTGATTAGATACAGAGCCATTTGGAAGATTGGAACAGTTTTTAAAGGCTTATTTGTCAAATGGGTGTCTCTGTAGGGCCATGCAAAATGACTTACTTATCAGGGATTTTACTTCAGAATCTATTGCAGGTATGAGTTCAGGTGTGTACTTTGTGTTATTCTATTCTATTTGGACATAAAAATAATCAAATAATTAGTTTCATCACTTCTCTTTTTGGAAGGAAGGAAGGAAGGAAGGAAGGAAGGAAGGAAGGAAGGAAGGAAGGAAGGAAGGAAGGAAACTTTATGCCGATACCCTTCAACCCGGTGGTCCTTGTTCAGTGAAAATGTGACTATAAGTATTTCAAAATGTGGTGGTTAAAGCACTGTAACAAAGTGAGAAGGCCCAAAGTTTAGTCTGTGAAGAGAGATGATCTGGACAGAAATGTGCAAAATCTGTTGCCTAGGCAAAGAGGGCTGAATAATTCTTGGAAAATCCTGGGGAGCAAAATAATATTCAGAAGCAATACAGGAAAATGCTTCCCTGAGTCACTGCAGTGTCAGGAAGGGATGTACAATATATCCAAGATATATTATATTATAGCCTATCTCAAAAAAGTGTAGATCTCTTAATGTGGAGTTGATTTTCTGATCTGGTCTTCCTAGTGCGACCGATGTTGTCCATCTTCAGTCATGGAAGCTTATGTGATTATTTTGGGTCCTTTATTTTTTTCACATGATGTGATCAGCAACTTCAAACTTTGAGCACCCAAGAGGATACTGGAGGTATTACAGACTTCTCCAGCAGCTTTCTCTCTCCCTGTCCTTTCTTTCTATCTTCATTTTTGCTGCTTTTGATGCTTGCTTGCTGACCTGACAGCTTGTCTGAGAAAAATGGCCAGTGGGTTTCATAGGAACACACATAGCCACATATATTTCACCTGAATAAGACACTGGAAGTTGCTGCTGCTGTAGGCATTTCACCCACAATGCCTCACTTTAAAAGAAGGTTACATAATATGGTTTCAGGTAAATCATCTGAAGGTCAAAATAATCTGCCATCCAAAGCCATTTGCCAATGGTCAGATACAAATAAAACCAAGAGGGAACCCCTGATTCTCTCATTTTCTAATTGGCCTAGAAGGAGCTAATGATTAGTTAGAATAAATTAGTCACCAAGTCAAATCTTTCCTAGAGCTATTGATATGTCATATTGCATATGCAAATTTGGTTTTGAATCTTGACTTACCTCAGATATAAATGGAATTAGTGTTTAACATTGCTGAATTTCAGTTTCTACCTGTTCTTACGTTTCTGAACAGGGGACTGAGAGAAAACCTCATTTCAATAGAGACAATTAGTAATATAGCCTCAATCTGGGATTTGGAAACAGTTCCTATTGTGCTATAGCAATAGAACTTAGACTTATATACCGCTCCATAGTGCTTTACAGTGCTCTCTGAGAGGTTTATAGAATCAGCATATTGCTCCCAATAATCTGGGCCCTCATTTTACTGATCTCGGAAGGACGGAAGACTAAGTCAACCTTGAGCTGGTCAGGCAATACTGCACTCTAACCCCTGCCTCACCACAGCAGAAGAAAAGAATTTAGGAGAAAGCTCAGATTGTGCACAAGGTCTGTTTGTGACAGTGCAACCCCATCCAACAGCAAAGATGCTTTAGGCTCTGTTGTTCTATGGGCTGGAATTAATACAGCCATATTTGATCCTTTCATGATTATATATCTTTGTAAAATGTGTCATATTCCAATTAATATTGGTACCGTTCTGTGGATCTTTTCAGCTGCAATGAAAGTCCATAAATAAATAATTGTATCTAAAGTGGGAAATGTATTTTGTATCAAGTGTAGTACAGGTCATTGTTGTATTTGCTGGTGGCACATTAAGGAATCTTAATCTCAGAAGATTTTAAAGGGATGACAGTTGCTGACACTACTTGAAAACAGGAGTAGCTAAGGCATATCTGCTTCAAATTTGAATAATGTAGATCTAAGTACTGTCATTATTGTGACATTTATTTCATTGGCAATTAATTAGACTGCAGCCTAGAAGTCATTTCCTGCACAACTCTCTGAAATCTCAGAGGACAGTGATTTAAGACTGCTCCCTCTCAAGCAAATATTTCAAATAAAACAAAGAAAAGCCCATATGGTTACAATGACCAATTAAGCAGAGAGTCACTCATTACCTTTATTTTCTCAGTTAAACCTCCAACAAAGAGCATGGCATTTGCATCCACATCTAAAATCGTGTAACCAGGTGGAGAAATTGCACTGGAAATGCTAGGAATGATGGTGGCTTTAGGACCCTCTAATGCCTGTACTGAAATTGTGCCATTTCTTCCAGTCCTGTAAGACAGAAAACATGGGAATGAGTTTTGCTACTATCAACTAATACAGTATTCACCTTCCTGTGAATACAAGCATTCTCTCCAACCTCTGAAGATATTCACACATGCAAGGTGACATTTTGTGAATTTCTGTATTCAAGTTTTAAGCTATTAGGATACACTATGGATTCTGATTGTTAGGTAATGATGTTATGTGAAGAGTAAGCTGACAGGAGTGTATATCTACTGACTAGGTTGAAACATGGGTGCCTGGTAACATGTAATCCCTGTGAGAAGAAGTTATGAGATGAAGACAGTCTATTATTTTAATCTCAGAAGAAGAAAAAATCCACTATGGAAACACAGAATTATGTGGACTACAATTTCAATTCACCACATCTGTTGCCTGAAAGTTCACACCACACAAATGGAGAGGACAATTTCTTAGTTATTTATATTAGCTTCTACAGTTTGCAGGGATTTTCATCTTTAAATCTAAAATGCAGCTCATTTATTTTTAAGATAAAGGTCACAATTCCTTTATTTGGAGCAGAAAATAAAAGATACTGGAAAATAACAAACATCAATTTATTCTATAGACTCTAATGACTTTATGCATCAAAAATATTTTATATTTTACTGAACAGAAATATTCATCTGTTTTCTTTCTTTGTACTTCCTCACTCCCTTCCCCCCTTTTGAACCTGAAGCACTCCAGAATACCAAGGCTCATCTCTTGATTTGTTTATTCCTTTGTCTGTTCTTTTCATGACAGACATGCTTTTGCACTCTGAATAAGTTCAATGGATTTATTATGGCAGTATAGTAAGCCAGATCATGAATGGCACTTCAACAGACCAAGACAAAAGTACTTCAGTTTTGAGTTTCCAACAGAACAAGAACCATTCCATCGGAACATGTCAAGTGACATAGTTTAATCAGCATGCAGATCAAAACACATATTTGAAAGGGCTCAAACTTCAATCAAAGGAATTAGCATTCAAGGCCTAATCTCAAAGAATGATTTGGAAGCTGCATTTTTTTCTGATATAGTCTCAAGTCTCCTATAAAAGTCAGTAATGTGAAGAGCTAATCCATTGGAAAGGGCTGCGAGTCTTTTCCTGCCTTAGACTTTTGCCTGAGACCACCATTCCAAAATTGCAGGTTCATAGGACCTGCCTGCCATGATTGCACTCTATGCCCCAGTGCCCATGAGCACTGCATATACATGCACAGACAAAGCTACAGCAAAAGGTAGGTTCATTTACAAAATTTGATAAGAATGGTAGATGGGAAACTTGAAATGATCTGAAGACAGATCCTTCAGTAGATTTCAGCTTAGGGATTGCTCCCACAACCCATGTTATTCAGATGTTGCTATTCCTCGGTCCATTTCCTAATGAGTGGGAGAAACACATCATCCCAATTAGTTTTATTCACAAAGTACTTCTGTCACAGCCACACTGGCAAAATGATAGGTAAGTAAGAGGGGTCATTGCTTTATTCATTTGGACAATAACATGCCTCTAAAAATGGTATACCGATTCTGATGTCTAAAAGGTCAGTAGGGCTTTTAAAATATTTCTTGTATTTGTTGGGTTTATATTATGCTTTTGCACTCATACAACAAAAATCAAACAAATTCAGAAGCAATGCATACAAAAATAAATAAATAAAAAGCTAACACAACATTCTCCATATTGTAAAAGCACTGGCAGAACATTCTCCACTTAGTAAGACCATAGTTTGGCCTACTCTCTGAGGGCAGGATCCCTGAAGACAAAAAGGAACAGGGTAGGCAGCAGGTATCACAGAGACATCTCACCTGGAGTCTTCTTTCCCTTCCCACGTGGCCATAGTAACTATTTACTGCACTCTGAGAAGGATCCTTAAAATTGCTTTATTTTCAATTTTTATATTTCATCGTGCATTACATTGTATTAGATTCTAAAAATACAATAAGATGCATCCCAGAAGAACTACTTTCAAAAGAATTTGCACGAGTGTGATGCCATTTTGAAAATGATATCTTTCTGGAGCATGGAATCGCCATTTGAGAGTGATACAATTAGTCTGGAATATCTTAGGAACTTGCCTTGATGCTTCAATTCGGTACCAAACTCCATCATCAATTGTGAGATCTGGGTAATCCGCACGCCCAACACCAGATCCCACGTCCCATAAGAAATCCACTTTTCCTTTACGCATTTCTATGGCCAAGAAGTCAGTCTAGAATGAGGAAGCATAATAGCATAATAATAGTATTTGCTACCTCTGAAACAATCTGGTAAAATAATGCAAAGTGATATTTATTAAAACAGTGAAAATGAAGCAATTAAGAGCAATGAATAGCTATATATTACTATGAAAGGATAATTATTCTAAATGTATTTTTTTTCCTGAAAATCTCTTTCTTTATCATGTTCCATATGTAATATTTATGAGTTGAAACATTATCTTTCCCATTAGTAGTGGCTCTCAATTATTGTCTTGCATAATCTATAATATCCTGTAAAATTTACATATTCAAAAATATTTAAATCTATTTTTAAAAATATAGGTAAAGTGAGGAGGAAACATTATAGCAAGAGGAGATTCAATAACTTCTAGTTCTTTTTCATAACTTCATATCTTTGCGTAATCATATCTGCTGCCCAAGGATACCTCTCACACATTTTTTTTCTAATTTATTTTAATGATTTTACACTAGTATATAATACAAATGTGGGATTTTTTTGCTGAAACTTCTTTTTGAATCAGTTTTGCAGTTTATTTTTTCTTGTGCGTTTTAGAAACAAAAGAGAAGTTTTAAAATATTTTTGACCTACCGGTAATTTTTATAAAGATAATTAATCCATCAGTTGTATTATTTCCTTAAAACCTTATGAATTAGATTTTCTACTAGAAGCTCTTTTGATCTTTATTTATCTTTCCTATGCATTTAGTTCCTTTGGAGTCTCTCCATTTGGATGGGGCTGCATAGGTCCTCCTAACAAGTGTCATATCATTCTCTTCTCCCCCTACCCCAGCTTCCTCTTTCAAATTATTTTCATTATTGCATAGTTAATAGCAGTGCTAGCAATACCATCAGTTTTTTTTAACATTATTTATCACTGTTGTGGTAAAACAAAAATGGTCCGGGCCCTATCCCTATCAATTTTATCATTTTGACTCACTCGAAGGAAGGCACCCCCATAACAGATTAACTGAGCCTAGTTAAGGGTTCAGCAGTAGGAACACTACTGGTCAGTTTCCTATACAGGTGGTGACAGTACCCTAATTTGAGCCAATGGATTCTGATAATAACACTTGTTTTTGCTGTTGCTTGGGAAAATGCAGACATGATGATATGGGATGATATCATGGCAACAGTAATGCCCTCTGAACATCAGATGGTGATCCAGCTATATTGCCAGAATTAATATCAATATACAATCAGATGGTAACAATTTTTAAAAGAAAAACTAAAGCGGACTTACGTATCTATTACTTCCAAGATAAAAAAGTAGATTATCAGCAACAGTTGTCTTTACGTTGAGAATAACAGTGTTGTACAATCCTTTTTTAATTTCTGGTCTGTATGTTCGAATACAGTTTCCTCCTGAAGCTACAGATACTTTAATCTTAAATTAGCAATTAAAAACAAAAGAAAGAGATCCATTTTTAATATTTTCAGTTCCATTCATAAACTAAATTAATATGAATTTTCTAGAGATCTGACTTTAGAATATAAACTACTGACAGTTTTATGTAGTATTCTCTACGGACATCACGATCCATTATTTTGCCACACCAGAATACCCAATGATATACAAAGTTGTGTTTTGATAATTCAATTGCTGAATAATTCAGAGGTAACTGCCTAATGAAGTCAAATGTATGACCTACTATATCTGAGACTTGTATGTACACTATATTATTTTAAATAAATTCTTTCCTATTGTTTTGGGTTCTGCGTTATGAAAGCTTTCGTATATTGTGCTTGTATTGTCAACTGTTGCTAGATGTGTCCCATAGGATCTTTTAATTTTTAAAACTAATTATCTAATAGTCACTAAGAGTTCACTTAGTGCTTACTGTAATATTATTATCATTATTTTTAAAAGGAATGGCATTTCTGTATGTCAAAAAAAAGACTCAATAAAGACCCAGTCGATCTGCTTTATTGAACTTACAGAATTACTTTCCCAAGACAAACAAGAAAGTTGAACATTCCATTTGATTGCTGAAGTTTATTATCTGAAACTCTGAAAGAGCAAATGTACATTATATCAGTATGGGTTTCATGTTTTGAAAATAAGTAATTCTAGGATTATAAAAGAGATGTATTTCTAATTCTGATGAAAGGTTGTGCAAATATACTCAAAAATGAAATCTTGTTGCATATGCACATAAGGCTTTAGCTGGGGTATCAACAAAAGGCCCCTTAATGGATTGCTACTCTGCAGCAGTGAAAGTATTTGCATATAGCACTTAGCAATAGCACTTAGACCAGTGTTTCTCAACCTTGATAATTTTAAGGCATGTGGACTTCAACTCCCAGAATTCCACAGCCAGCATTGCTGGCTGTGGAATTCTGGGAGTTGAAGTCCACATGCCTTAAAATTGTCAAGGTTGAGAAACACTGATGGACTTATATACTGCTTCACAGTGCTTTACAGCCCTCTCTAAGCGGTTTACAGAGTCAGCATAGTGCCCCCAACAATCTGGGTCCTCATTTTACCGACCTCAGAAGGATGGAAGGTTGAGTCAACCTTGAGCTGGTGAGACTCAAACTGCCAAACTGCTGGCAGCCAGGAGTCAGCAAAAATAGTGTATTCTAACCACTGCACCACCAGGGCTCTTCCATATTACAGTGATGCTATTAGCTATACTGTTGGGACTGTACACTTGCAGAAGATTGATCTATGATAGACAAGTCATAGACAAGGGAACAGATTAAATATTGTATGAGAAGAAAATGACAACCCACTTGAATATTTCGCCAAAGGGACATTCACAACCAGGGCAATGTTACAAAGATATGTATACCATTGCTCTGCCAGGACTATGAACCAAGATGTGGCCAGAGCAGCTATGTCAAAACTGAACATCGGTCCAACTAAACAGTGAATACAAGACAAAAGCAATAAGGAGTCATATAAAATTAGCAAAGCAAATAAATTAAGAATATAATTTAAAAGGGAAAACAAGCTATTTTTTTAAAGAAAATCGGAGAAGGCAGGTGACGCTTTTATACAAAAATAAGCATAATAAGATACAAAAAAGATCTGAGGGAGAAAGATTTAATGAAGAAACAGCACAAAATATATGGAAGAATAAATGACTGGTAAGCAAGGTTTCATCAGTACTAGAGCCAGACATTTTGAAAAGTGAAGTTAAATGAGTCCTAGAAAATCACTTGCAGTTTGTAAGACAAGCACACTGGAGCCCAAGGAACCGGAGGAGACCCATTTATATCTCAATAGCCCCCCAAAAAAATATAAAGCTCACTTCTCGTAATTTTGCAGTCCAGACCTATATATTGACTAAGAATTGTCACATATAAAAATAACATTCAGAAGAGATGGGGGCATCTGAGTTAACAGTGCTAACACTGAATGGATAGTGGAAAAATTCTAGACAATTTCTAAAAAGTTATCTTTTTTTGCTTTATTACTCATACAAAGACTTTTAATAGGGTGAACCACAAGAAATAGTAGATATCTTTTAAATATGAACATACTTGGCCAGAGGTTCCCAACCCCTGATCCATGGACCGGCACCGGGCCTCAGCATGCACAAACAAGCGAAGCCCCATCCATGGGATGCAGGCAGCACACAAAACCACACCCAGTCTGGTCTGCCAAAAAACCTCTCCCTACAGAACCGGTCCCTGGTGCCTAAACGTTTGGGAGCTCTGTACTAGGCCACCTCGTTTGTCTATTGAAGAATTTATACAACAACTACAAGCAATAATGTTAATAGGATACAGAGCAATTAAATACATGGCAAATATATAATGAAAAATATTTCACTAGAGGAAATACAGATTAGAATGAATATAGCTGGGAGAAACATTAAAACCTCAGCTATGTTGATGATACCACTGTGATAACTAGAAGATTTAAAAAATATCTTATTGAATTTAAAAGAAGAGAGGGCAAAAGCTAGTTTGCATAACAAAAAAAATCAAAACATAAAACCAAAAGAAAACCTCATGCAGAAAAATTATGATTAAATCAAGAGATAATGCCAACTCAATGCACCTGAGCATAGAAGAAGGTAAGGTAATAGCAAAAAAACTTTATTTTCATAGGCTCAAAAATTCAGCAATTGTGACCGTAATAAAGAATGGAATAAAAAGGTATCTGCTAGTTGGATGAGAGGTCTAAATAAAATATTAAGATGCAAAGATAGTACACTGACAAGAAATGTTCATACTATAAAAACAATGTTTCCCTGTTTTAACAAGTGGCTGAGAAAGTTGGATCCTAAAAAAGGCTGAATGAAGAAAAGTTAATGCCTTTGATATATGGAACTGGAGAAAACAGTTAAGAGTGCCTTGGATTGCAAAGACAACAAATAATTCAGTGCCACAGGAAGTAAAATCAGACTTTTTAATAATGATGCTAAAACTTAAATATTTCAAATACATAATACAAGAAGATCTTAAAGCTTGGAAAAACATCCTAATGCAATAGAAAAAAAGAGAGCTTAGAGAAAATAAAGTGGTTATATACTATTACTAATGACACTAGCAGGAACTTAGAAGAAATCAAAAAAGCATTGATAGATAATCTTGGGATATAACAGCCATTGGATATCAAAGAGTCAGAAGCAACTCAATGATTGAACACTCAAGTTTTCATGGACAGAGCTAGTTTAGACAGGTAGTTCTCGATTCACAACCACAATTGAGCCCAAAATTTCTGTTGTTAAATGAGACATTTATTAAGTGAGTTTTGCACCATTTTACGACCTTTCCTGCCTCAGTTATTGAGTGAATCACTACAGTTGGTAAGTTAGTAACCCAGTTGTTAAGTGAATCTGACTTCCCCATTGACTTTCTTGTCAAAAATTGTAAAAGTTGATCAAATGACACAGCAATGGTCATAAATATGAACCAGTTGCCAAGCACCTGAATTTTGACCCTGCAAAGGCCATAACTGTAAAAAATGGTCATAAGTGCCATTGAATGGTCACTAAACCAACTGTGGTAAGTCAAGGATTACCTGTAATCTGTGGGTCCTCCTACATTCCCTGCTCCTGCACAATGAGCAGCACTGGCTCGGACACAGCCTCTGTGTAGCTCCAACTTATGTTTTACAGTACAACCCCTTCTGGAGCAGAATATTCTACTTATCATCATTCATGTTTTGGTCATCTCTTGTTTGAACTACTCTAATATGTTGTACTTGGGATTGCCCCTGAAGATGACTCGGAGGCTTCTGCTGGTCCAGAATGAAGCATTTCAGACAGCAACACATATAGGTAAAACTACCACTACTATTTCGAGAACTGCACTTGCAACTAGCTTGTTTTAAGAAGTAATTCAGGATGATGGTTAAGTTTTAATTTTTTAGAGATCAGGAACTGGATATCTTTGGTATTGCCTTCTCCTAGTGATTTCTACCTATACATTATGTTTGAGAAGAGAAAATTCTCTATGGGCCCCTAATGAGTGCCATCTGCCAGGACACCATAGAAGGACTTTTTAGTCAATGCATCTTTTCTCTGGACAATCCACCCTTTCTCTGAATTTCCTTACAAATTAGACTCCATACCCTTGAGTATTCATAAAGCTAGAAAGACCTGGGTTTTCCAGTGTACCGTCAAGGTCTCTGATATGTTGTTTTGACCCTTCTTATAGGGGAAGGTCTATATGTTAACATTGTCTGCAGTTATTTTGGATTGTGCATGAATGTGTATCTATTTTAACACAATTACTGCAATGAATTATAAGAAGGTCTCTGAATGTCTTTTACAGTCTATTATGATTGAAATGGTTTATAGACATAGTAAGTAAGCAAATAAATCAAATAATCAAAGAAGTCAATGTTAATAGTTGTTCAATATAAAGATTACATTAGGAAACATGACAACATGCAAACTAAAGTGTATATCATCAGATTTATTCTACAATAAGAGTAGTAATTATATTAGAAGAAATAACTGTTACCTATGATAGTTTATATTCATTATTTGTTTTAGTGGTATAAGGAAATGGTAGATATAGATTATTCAGACCAGAACAGGAAAACAAAAAAACAAAAAACAAAATAAAACCAAAATAACGCTGAAGGGAATACATTACACTTAAATGTGTAAGCTTAGAAGGTTAGTTACCTGCATTAAAAATAGCCCTAAAAGATTTATATATTTTAAAACCTTTGGATAGTACAAATATCACTGAGACAGAATAGCTATTAAACAACGATCAATGTGGGTTTTTCTGTCCTCACCCATAAAAATACAGAGATGCCTACTCCAAGGCATGAATAATGTTAGGAAAGTAACTTTAAAATCTATGGATGGAAATTATTTTGGAGGTAAATGATTACTTCTATTTTATATGAAGGGCTGTTTATCAAATAAATATGCTGTTTTCTCATTATAATGACACATACTTTCTGTTTTATATTTTTCCCGGAGCGGCATAAAGCTTTGACTTGAACATATTCATCCTCAGAGATATTTTTTTAGGTTCTTGCAGGTCATAAGGAAACAGATTTAGCATTACCAGCTAAAATGTGTTTCAAATGTAATTGCACTTTGAAGACAAACTTAGGACTCAATAATAAAACTAGTAGTTCTTAACCCACTTACATAATGGGAAAAAATGGGACACCCATTCCCTAATATCTCTGAGCGTAGCAATTTGGCTGCAAATTTGACTCAGAAACATCCGGACAAACAACACTCACACCAATTTAAAGGCCAGTGCTTTGACAGATGAGCACAATTCAAAGTGCACTGAAGATGTTCCCTCGAATGGAGACAAAATGTTTGCAGCCAAATCGTCAAGCTCAGAGATCAATCCTACAGTCCAATTACCAATCTGAGCTACTACTATTCAAACACATCTCAATCCCCTAATATTCTTGGTTAGTCTGCAAGATGTTGTCAATTTTATTTGCAAAGCAGCAGTGCTTCCTGATTACCAACTGTAAATATCGTAGGGACTGTATTGGGGGGAAATGATTCATTAAATATTTGATCAGTTAGTTTCTGTTCAAATATTAATATTTCCTATTAATAGTTATAAAGGACATTATAGTGTATCGATACAATCAATTCCAATTGTTGAGAAATTACATTGTTACAGGAACTCTGACTTGCTTCTTCAAGCTCTTACTTTAAGAACAACATTTGGTGAGAAGATTGATTTGAAAACCTGGGATGAAACTGAGGTGGATATTTTTGAACAACTTTGGGACTTGTAATTTATTGTGACTGAGTATACACACTTTTCCTATAGGCAGCAGTTATGTAAGCTGTACAGGCCCAGCTTTGCCATTCACTTGGAGAGGAAGACTACACTAAGAAGTGGAAAAAAATGTGCCCTACATTTCTGGCAAACCAACTTCTCCTGTAGCCACCAAAAGTACAGCTCAATTCATGAAAGTCTTTACCTTTTCAAAGAAATAAACTAAGCTCTTAAAAAAGTCTTACAGAATTGGCCTGCTTCCTGGCTTGATTTATCAGGTCTTTAATGTGAGATATGTTCTTCCCCAGATTATCTTGAAGTTGTTTGATTGGTTTCAATTTATCCATCAGCCGATCTGCTTCTTTGCCCAGATTTTTAACAGTGTCATCTGCATCAGCAACTTTGTGTGAAAAAAATAAAACAAAAACAGAACAGATTACATTTTGGATGCAACTGCCATTAATAAAAACTGAGGGCACTCTGGGGCAGTGATTTATAAATAAAAAATGAACTCTTCCCTTGACTCTCCTCTCAAAAAATTGCATCATGGGTAATTTATTAATATACCTTATTATACCTGAAATAGAAAACTGTGGGTTAATTTTGCACTCTAGCCAATAATATAAAACATTTTTTTTTTACTTCATATGGTCATTTGGATTTCATTATTGAAGTAGTTTCTTGATCTGGATGGATTCTTTGGAAATGATGGTTTAAATTAGCCATGATACAAATTTTAAAATAAGAATGTCAGGAGTGAAAGGAACGATGTTACATTAATTTCTAGATTCATGAACTATGTTTAAAACTGGGGTTGCTGTGCTCAGAGCAATCTGCAGTAATCATATTAAAGATGTAAAATAATTGCCATTTTAATTTTAATTTTACAACTTGGTTTAAAGGCAAAATAGTAGCAAAGCAGCAAGGGTTAGAAAAGTGCTCTAGGGAGCTAAGGTTTCAGGGCTTCATTCTCGCATTGCTGAACACATTTTGAATTAAAATAGTAGCGGATTTGCCAATTAATAAACTAAGTGTTTCATATCCCAAACATATTTTTCGAGCCACCCTAAATTTGCAAAATTTGAGTAACACGACAATGGGAGTTTCAGAGCATGGCTCAGTATGAACAAAACAAAATAATATAATGTCCATAGATGGTTTTATATACGTACAGTGGGCCCCATGTGTAAATTAGATAGCAGATTAATATCTCTGCACATCCTTAAAAAAAATACAAGATTCCAAATCTTACTGAAATCTGTTCTCATAGATCTGTACCTGCATTGGTCTGAAACCATCTTCAGGGATGGTAATCTAGAAAAAGGAACAATACATGGATGGGCCTGGCAACCTTAGCAGTGTGTGTAATCCCAATCATTTGCTGTATATGGGGCAGTTAGGATTTCTGGCTTGTACGATAAAAAAGATCTGTTTGGCTTTGGAAGTTCAGAAACAACCCATAGTACCTTCTTCTGTGGTGTTTCATCAATACAGTATCTGGTATTCCTGTTTGCTTTTACTATTATGGACATGGAAAGATGCATAATGGTGAGCAAAATAATTATGTATTTGAAAGTGAAACATCTTCTATAGTCCATCCTGAGTCTACTGTTTAACGATTAGAAGGCTCTAAGTTTCAACAAAATGCAGCAAAGTGTTTGCATGGGAACACTCTACTCAAAATTTGTTTTTTTTCTGTTGAGTGTTTTAGATGATTACTCAAACTGAAAGTATTATGTTTAATGAATTAAAACTTGATAGTGACAGTGATTGCTGGGGTATTCAGTGTGAACGTGGAGCACTCACACTAAAGAACCCTTGTTTTTGTTAGTTGAGGAGCTGTCTGGACATTTATCGTCAAGATGCAAGAGAAAACCAGTGAATAATGACAAAGTTTTAAACACATTGTGAAGTGTACAGATTGATTGATCTGCATGTTAGAAATGCAGACCTTTTTTTATGAAAGCTTCCAAGACCCTTTCTTAATTTTTAAAATGTGTTTGATAGATGCATATGACCATGTAATAACAGAACTGGGGTACATTCCTTTTTCATGGCAAAGCTGCTTGGATAAATTAGTATCATTGCTGGAACACAACAGCTATTATTAGACAATGCCTAACATAGTAACCATGCAAATATATTTTAATAAAGTGCTTGAAGTTAAAACCTTATACGTACTGATTCCTGTAGGCAAGTTTTGAAGCATTTTTTAAAAAGAAAAAGAAAAAAGAATTTTTAAATAAATAAAAAACAAACAAACAGCAATATAAAATAAGTTGGTGACTGAACAAAAACCTGGAAATGGGCATAGCTTGGCAGGCTGGATTATGCTGATTTGAAGTAAGTGGGATATTTTCTCTTAGGACTTTTAGAACATGGTAACTAGCTGATCTATAGATAATTAAAACTTGTTTAATGGTTATAAAAAGCAGGCCGAAAGAAAGGTTTTTATTAGATGTTACCATGTAATGTATCAGTGAAGATGTAACATTTCCTCATCTCATAATAATGGTGGTCTTTTTCAGCTTTCTTTTGGATTATGCACATTCCCATTTCTCTGACTTAAAGTTCTCCTTTCTCATGTTGCTATGATTTCAGATTTAAAACTAACTATGGGGTAAAGGTAGAATGCTAATAGAAGCTGTGCAGAAAGAAGAACAAAGGGGACATTTAAGTGAGAAAGGGGAAGACACAAGAGTGGAGCACCAAGACAACTTGCAAGGAAATCCTGGTCTCAGTTAAAATTGAAACGGCAAGTACAGCTCAGGAAAATGCACATCTTCAAATGTGATTAGGAATATGCAATAGGGCAGGGATGAACGGACTCCAATCATTCAAGATCTACTTGACATTTTATTTCCCCCCTCCTCCAAATGGAGTGAGACCCCAAATAGGGGCTCCAGCAGAGATGGACATTTCTGAATATGCGTTCAGTCCAGAAACTCAAGCAGACTCAAGCTCAAAAGTTTTTTAGCACAACCATCACCAAGTGTTCTTTTTCTTTTCTAATTAAGACTCACTGGTATTGCTAGCCTACTGGGAATCTGAAGCCCCTGTCAATCTGGTCAATTGACTCTAAATTAGATTGTGTCCATGCTTGCTGTAAGCCAACTGCTAAATTTAGCTGAACTGTAATAGCAAACTATCTTCAGGAACACCATTCCTGAATTTTTCAAGAAGATATTTTTAATTCACATAACTGAGCAGTAAAAGTCTTCAGACAAACTACTCTCTACTCTCTACTCAAAAGGAAAGCACAGATTTGTGGGGATATAACAATGCAATTTTTTTTGCGGTTGTTGTGATAAAGATTCAAAAATTCTAAGCCCATTTTCCTCTAGTCTTATGGATATCTCTATCTTTTCCTTTTACCACTTTTTTCTGGTGAAATAATATATCTTTTCCCTACAAATTACATTTTCCTGCATATTGCAGAGATGACCAGATCTGGAATAAGATCCACTCACTGAGGCAATTTAAAAAGGTTTCTAGTAAAAATGGTTATTCATCTGCTAAAGGTCATATACTGTAGAACCAACCAGTTTGGTGTAGTGATTAAGGAAACAGGCTAGAAACTGGGGGATCGTGAGTCTTTGTCCCATCTTGGGCATATCACTTTCTGTCAACCCTAGGAAGAAAGCAAAGGCAAACCATTTCTGAAAAATGTTGCCAAGAAAACTGCAAGGACTTGTTCAGGCAACCTCCGAGAATCGGACACAATTGAACGGAAGAATCAAAAGAGGTCACATAGCTATGCTGGAGACATTTTTCTGAATTCTACCAGTAATATAGTGCTTTTCAGTGAATATAATAAGTAACGGTTCAGCATAAAATATGTTCCTAACATATCTATATTACCCAAGAGATTATAATACATCTTCTAAAACCAAAAGACAGCTTTATTACAGCATTTTCATTCAATGATTAACTTATATACCTACCTGATGTGTTCAAACTACAAATGCTTACCATTATTTCTACTGTCCTGGGAATGATCTTTCAAGGACATTTTCATTATTAAGAGTTGAAGCTATTTTTTTTATATCAAAAGAAATGTGTTAAGAAGGCAGAAGGCAATGGAAAACATGCTGCTAATTAAGTGGTATTTGAAGTATACAAAATAATAAAGGAATTATGTATGGACTATCAGCAGGAAGATCTAATTTAAAAAGTTTCTAGTAAGCATAGGATATTCACCATTCTTCTCTCTATACATAAACCTTACTAACATTTGTAGATGTTGAAAAACACACAACACCATAATTTAAATCAGGGGAAGGAACAACCCTTTCATTTCAGAAGATTAGAAAAAAGGAAAGAAATGAAAGTACATAGGCATAATAAGGTCTTACTATTTTTAGTAGGATCTTTCAATATAGCGTTTGTTTTGGCTGCATCATCTGCAACTTTTCTGTATCTGTCTTTTAATCCAAGGAGGTTTTGATTGAGATCTCTGATTTTAGCCAGTACCTCATTTGCAGTATCATTAGCATGCTTGGCTTTATCTTTGACTGCTTGTACTTTGGCTGCAGTATCTATAAACAGGAAGAGGGGAAAAAAATAGAACCAAGAAATACATTTTATTTATTTGATTTTTATTCCACCTTTTTTTATCTAAATAACTCAAGGCAGCCGACATACTTACTTATCACATCTTGTACATAGTATTTATATTTATTGATTTATTGGTTTATTGATTTATCAAATTTCTTAACTGCCCATATCCCTTGTAGAGGGACTATTTGAGTTGTGTTGGGCCCTACTGCAAGACAAAACACTTTTGTTTGTTTCTGAAAAAGTAAATATTTAAAAGTAAAATAAACACAAAACCTATTTATTTTCACTTATTCCAAGAGAAAAAAAAACCATGTAACCTCTCTCAACAAACAAGAGTGACAGCACTGTTAGTGCTGTAACAATGACATCAGTAAATGTGCCCGTAACAGAATATTGCAAGAAATATGAGCAAAACAGAAAAGACAAATCAAACATATATTAACTGAACTATTGCCTGAACTGTTTACGGAATCTAAATTTACATAGGGAAAAAAGAGAGGCTATATATTTCTGGACATACTTTCGTGTTTTTAATATCTTTACTTTTTGTTGACCTCTGCAAACCATTGTATCTACTGCATTGGCAAAGATAAGTTCATAGGTTCTTGTGAGTAGGTTTAATTAACTTTCTTTTAAACCAAAGAAGTCCTAATCCAGCAAAATTTGTCATAATGAAGATATCAGGCTGGTCTGTATATAACTTGGTTCCCTCTGATACAGAATGTGTTTTACCTCCTAGGCAAATAGCAAAATGAACTGTGATGTCGTGCCTATTTACTTCATATAATTAAAACACCGGCAGCAGATCTTGGCTTCCATTTGCTGCTGTAAGTAACAAATCTCACATTCAGTTCCAGCTGCCTTCTGTACAGATTGCTTATATTTCTTCAGAAATGATGTTCTTTGCTCAACTTGATCTTTTTCGCTCTGAATATTTGCTCCTTTCTTAGCATTTTTACTATAACAGCAAGAAGAGGCACTTTGGGAAAATGAACTAAAATGATGGATTGGTTGGTAGAACGTTGCCTTTCATTGCTTTTAAAAAGAAAAAAGGACTTCTAAGAATGAGAAGAAAGTGAATACTCTTGCTAAACCAAAAGGGAAAAAAAAGAATATCAAGTTTTTCTTCTGTGGCAAGCAATATACTAACATATCTCAAAGAAACAAAACAGACAAGACGACTTATGGGACAGAGTAGAAAGCATAATATATACACATATTGGAAGATCAAAATCAGAAATATATTGAGCCAAAGCTGTCAGCATACTGACACATCTTATTAGAGCTGAGCTATTGGGCTGTGATGATAATTCTAACAATGGTACTTCCACTGTGTTTAGGGTTAGGGTTAGGGTTAGGGTTAGGTTGTGCCAAAATGGTATCACTGGTTTGGAAGCATTGGAAAGAGTTCAGCAGTCTTGAGGGGAGCAGACAGCAATGACAGCAGCAGCCCACTGACTGTGATCAAGTGACATCACTGAGAAAGACACTGGCAGACAGAATGAGAAGTGGGGGAACCTGAACAAATTTTCCAGGGTTCTTGGAGGGGGGGGCTTTTAAACTTAATGGCACCACTGTGTATCATTAAAGAGAATTTTTCCTCTATCTGCACTTAGTATCTGTATTATGAACATATTTTGATTGGGAACACAAAGACATGATATTGATGCATTTCTTACATGATTCCTACTATATTTGGTTAGAAACTGGAAAGGAAGGAAGGAAGGAAGGAAGGAAGGAAGGAAGGAAGGAAGGAAGGAAGGAAGGAAGGACAATGCAAATACAAGTAGATTGAGGACTGAAGTGGGGAAAAAACCCGTAATTCTTTAATTTAGGAAAAGCACTGCGCTCTAAATACTGAACAGTGATAATTTAGCTCATCCCCACTTACCGTTTGGAATGGCTGATAGCTTTTCCAGGGTGTCATTCAAAGCTTTCAAGAGAGCCGAGTTTCTTTGCCCTGCAACTTGCAACTTATTCTGCATTCCTTTTAGATTATCCTCATTTTCTGTAAGGAGTACACAAATCAGAAATTTGGTTATATTAATATAATTCATTATAAGTTTAATATATCTTGAAAGGAATTCAGGGCTACGTAGGAGCTATCTCAATTTAGTATCATAATAATTTTATTAGTGAGCTTAGACTAAGAAATTATAATTGACCATGAAGAGCTTTCATCGAGTTTCTGGACTATTTATGACTTGGAAGTATCAAACACTCAAATCACTACAGATTGAATATTTATCATGATTTATTCATTTGAAATCAGCTGGTTAGCTATTACATTCAGCCTGATGGTGCTTGGAGCACAGATCATTGGCACAGGCTGATAGTCAAAATTTTATTAATTTCTCCCCCCACTGCACCAAGATACGCATTATTGCCTTATTTTATTCTTTTTAAAATTGTAAGCCTCCCAGAGTCACCTTATGATTGAGATGGGCAAATAAATAATAAATATGAAAATATCAATTGTGTATGCTTACATTAACATTGACTAATTAAAGCAGCCATGTACTTGAAAAAGAATACGTATACCCCTTACAAACTATTTTCAAAGTATAATCAATAACAACGGTAGTTTTTGAAGTTTAAGTCAAGTTTTCCATAAAGCTGAAAATCTTAGTTTTCTGATGTTACTGTTTTATAATTAAGGACAATAGGAATCTAATTAATCTGATGCAGAAATTTTCCACATTGCACAATGGGAAAACTTACTGGACAACCCATGAGGATTTTTAAAACATAATATCTATCAGCAATATGGCTGTCTAGTAACTTCAGAATTTTCAGAATCTGGTTTCTTTAGTATATAGCTCTCTGTGTGTATGTGTGTGCGCATGTGTATGGATGTGCAAATGTGTGCATTTGCAAATATACATGAAAATGAGCATCAAAAAGATCAAAGCAACATACAAATAAGTTTTACCCATTTACCCACAGGAGCCGTGGTGTGGCTAGAATGCAATACTGCAGGCAAACTCTAGCCACAACTAGGAGTTCGATCCTGACTGGCTCAAGGTTGCCTCAGCCTTCTATCCTTCTGAAATCGATAAAATGAGGCCACAGATTGTTTCGGACAATATGCTGACTCTGTAAATCACCCAGAGCATGTTATACAGTACTATGGAGCAATATGTCAGTCCAAGTGCTATTGCTATTGTATTCTCATTACCTACTCATGTCACATGATCTAACAAAATCTAACATCCTCCCTTCAGAGATTAGAATGGCTCCAACCCAATTAGTCTTTCACAAGGCCCTAAAAATCTGGCTATGTTCCCACGACTGGGGTAATAAGTGTGGCAAAGGCCCCATTTCTTGACTGTATTACTAACTGGCCAAATAACTCTGCTGCTATGTTTATTTATTTTGGATGTTTCTATTGTTTTAATTGTTTTAAAATGTATTTGGTATTTTAATTGTAATGTATTTTTTATATTGTAAGCCACCAAGCATCATTAACTTGGTTGGGCAGCCATAGAAATTGAATGAATGAATGGCTTGATAGAAAAAAACTGCCACTGACAAAGTACCATTGAAACAAATGAACTAAAATACCATGAAAACAAAACAAAACAAAACAAAATAAAAAATCTCTAAAGTGATCACTATTAGAGACAAAACTAACAGTTCATATTTTTCTCTCGTGGGTGCACAAGCACAATTATGTTTTAGAAGAAAACTCATCTTTACATAAAAGAATAAACTAAATAGCAATTTAAGCAGAAATCATAAGGACAGTAATTGCATATTCAATATCATACTGATGGAATATGATTCAATATATTTTGCAAATCATTTTGTGTGACAATGGTATATCTAAATATGTCATTTTCTCTAAAAATGATTGCGTTAACATTGTCAAAATGTCTGTTCCAGTTTAGATTTGTGGGCATCGTCAAAACGTACGTCAGGAATGTAGTTTAGCAAAGAAAATGTGGATTAGTTGCAGATCGGTGAGGAAAAAATTGAGGCAAGAAAATCCTTTTTGTACAATTATTTTTTCCTTGGAAATAAAATAAAAGAACTAATGGCAAAAACTGGGAATGGACCATTAGTCTTGCTGAAAGGTGGCAAATATGAAAGAACCCAAACATAGGGAAGTTAATGAGCAATACCTAAATAAGAAATGTATTATTGTATTTTAATCGGGCTATAAAATGCTTTTTAGTGCAATGATAGGCACAATAGCTTTGTCAAATGGCATATTAGAAAGAATCTCATTTCTGCAATATTTGTTTCATTGGAAAGAAACTAATTGCTCTTTAAAAGTGGCTCTTGCACACCTCTTAATTAAAAAAAAAAAAGTATTTCCATAGCTTGACCCAGAATGACCAAATGAATTTTCATATTAACTTTTCTAGTATATCAAATGATTGCATTGTGTTAACCAATAGCCTTCTACTCTTACTCATATATCCTTTCTGGTATTTCCATGGGAAATCTTATCCTCTTTTTTGTGGTCTTTCTCTAGGAATAGAAAGAAAGAATCTATAAAATTGTTTTATATACAACCATTATATACAACCCTTTTTGCCTATAAATACCTGCTCTAAAGATGGAGATACAGAGACATTTCCAATGTACAGGGAGTACTTAACTTACGACCACTAGTGAGCCCAAAATTTATGTTGCTAAGTGAGACAGTTAAGTGAGTTTTGCCCAATTTTATGACCTTGCTTGTCACAGTGATTAAGTCAATCATTGCAGTTGTTGAGTTAATAAAACGGTTGTTAAGTGAATCTGACTTCCACATTGACTTTGTTTGTCAGAAGGTTGCAAAAGGTGTTCACATGGCCCTGGGACACTGCAACTGTCATAAATACTGCCAAGCATCCAGAATTTGATCACGTGATGATGGGAACGCTGCAATGGTTGTAACTCACTTTCTGCAGTGCCATTGTAACTTTGAATCTTCACTAAATGAATGGTTGTAAGTTAAAGATTACCTATATTCATTGTATAGTTTTTAACCAATTAACACTTTCTTGCATAAGCAAAATAGCTTTCCAAGAAATTTTTAATCTTGTTCTAAATATTTTTGAAGATAAGATAAATTTTGTTCTAAAATACTTAAAAAATTTTTTTTAACATTCTTCAGGCATTTTTTAAATTATATGGCACTTATGTTGTGCTTTTAACATATTTTCCATTTAATAGACGGATAGATTCAGTAGTTTTAGTAATTTTGCAGCCAAATGTTTAATAAATTCACTATTTCTCTCTGGGGTGAATTCCCCAAATTATATCAATTATTTCATTTCTGTATTTTAGAATCGCTCTGCTTTAAAACCTGTTTTTATACCCATTAAACCAGGCTATTTTTATGAGTTTTAATAAGTTTAATCTCTGTGGATCTCTTAAATGCCAACATTCTCAATCCATCTGTTTAATATTTTTTCCATTTAATATCTCAAATGCATTTTAATTGTTTCCTGAAAATTAGAAAGAAAAAGGCAAAATAAATTTCCTGAGATAGCCTCGTACAGAACAGAAAATAAAGCTCCAAAAACTATATTTTTTTTTAAAAAAAAGTCTACACATTTTAAAAAAACATTCTGAAATGCCACAGTTTGAAATTCCCAGCAATGAAATTAACCCTCAGAGCAATCTTCTAAACTTTAAGCGTTATCTTATAGAATAGCAAAACAAATAAACAAATCAGTCTGTTTTGCTTGTATTTATTCTAAAAGGTAATATGGATCATTCTTGTTTCTCTATTTAGCAAAGTTGGACGGATAAAGATCTTGTTGGTCCCAACTAGAAAGGATTCTTCTATCTGTGGAAAGACTATGATCTAGTGAAGGAATCCCACTGATGGTAACAAGAAGAGGCAATGTTTTTTTCTGCAATCAATTCCCTTTCCAGCATTCTAACAGTTGTCTCAAAACAACAGATATGCAGTCATTTGTTGTTGTTAATTGTTGTTGTTAATTGCAAAGTCAAAGTCTGACCCATCGCGACCCCATGGACAATGTTCCTCCAGGCCTTCCTGTCCTCTACAATCTTCTGGAGTCCATTTAAGTTCACGCCTACTGCTTCAGTGACTCCATCCAGCCACCTCATTCTCTGTCGTCCCCTTCTTCTATTGCCCTCAATCTTTCCCAGCATTAGGCCCTTCTCCAGTGAGTCCTTCCTTCTCATTAAGTGGCCAAAGTATTTGAATTTCAACTTCAGGATCTGGCCTTCTAAAGAACAGTCGGGGTTGATCTCTTCTAGGACTGACCGGTTTGAATGCCTTGCAGTCCAAGGGACACGCAGGAGTCTTCTCCAGCACCATAGTTCAAAGGCCTCAATTCTTTGTCGCTCAGCCTTTCTTATGGTCCAACTTTCAGATCCATACATTGAAACTGGGAAAACCATGGCCTTAACTATATGCACTTTTGTCGGCAGGGTGATGTCTCTGCTTTTTAGTATGCTGTCTAGATTTGACATAGCTTTCCTCCCCAGGAGCAAGCGTCTTTTAATTTCTTGGCTGCAGTCCCCATCTGAGGTGATCTTGGAAAATAAAATCTGTCACTACCTCCATTTCTTCCCCATCTATTTGCCAGGAATTGAGAGGACCAGATGCCATGATTTTGGTTTTCTTAGTTGAATTTCAAGCTAACTTTTGCACTCTTCCGCATCAAGAGGCTCTTTAGTTTCTCTTCACTTTCTGCCATTAGAGTGGTATCATCTGCATATCTTAGGTTGTTGATATTTCTCCCGGCAATCTTAATTCCAACTTTTGATTCATCTAGCCCTGCCTTTCTCATGATGTGCTCTGCATATAAGTTAAATAGGCAGGGCGACAGTCCTTGCTGGACTCCTTTCCCAATTTTGAACCAATCAGTGGTTCCGTGTCCAGTTCTCACTATTGCTTCTTGACCCGTATATAGGTTTCTCAAGAGACAAATAAGATGGTCTGGTACTCCCATCACTTTAAGAACTTGCCACAATTTGTTGTGATCCACACAATCAAAGGCTTTAGCATAGTCAATGAAGCAGAAGTAGATGTTTTTC